AGCCACCTACCCACCCAACTATTCTTTCATTCGTTCACCTATCCACCCGTTCAGCCATTTACCCATCTGCCCAACTCAACAGGGTCGGTGCTACAGTATTGGCACATAGCTGACTTCCAATTCAACAGCCAGGTCATGGGTTGAGCACCAGGAACATCAAAATAAATAAGAGCAGTCGCCTGTCCTCAAAACACTCCTAGATTAGCCTCTTTTCCTCTCTGGCCCTCAATCATGTAGGGTAAGGATATGACGTTACCAACAACGTAACTGCTTGGAAGGAAAGCATGAAATCTAGTGGGCCTCCATGACTCGTGTTGTGTTAGGGCTCTGGGAACTGCAGGCTCCATTCTGTTCTTCAGAACCCCACAGCAGGTGTAATGTGTGGCTTCTATGTGGGCTAAGACGCCCTGGACTCTAATGTCTCACTTCATGGATGCCAAGACCAGAGAAAGTTCTAAGAAGGTGGGAAGTTGCTTATGAGCATAACTTGGGCAAAAGTTGAAGATCACCGCTCGGATTACGTTTCCTACCAGAAATGACAGCAGCATCTCAGTCTCCAGGAGAGGTACTATTCTGGACCTGACCTGACACTACCTAGTTGGGTGGCCTTGGGCAAGTCCCCACCATTATCTGGACTTCAATTTCCCCACCCGTGAGCTGTGAGGGGTGGTCGGAGGGCCCTCCAGCTCTGAGGTAGCCTCTAGAGGGTCTCACTTCCCTTCCAGCTTGGGTGGGCCTCCCCCTCTGACAATGGGGCCTCTCTGACCAGCCCACACATGAGGAGGGAGAGGAGATGACGTGGCTTGGCGTCCTTGGCCTTGAGGCCTTTAGTTATTCAATCCCTCCTCCCTTGACACAAACAACCCTCAGTCGCCCCCTCCCACCCCCCAGAATGTGGGCACAGCTAGGGCCTAGTATGCCCTGACCACCCCATGAATCACCCCTCTATGGTCCCTGGGGGAGTTGTCCAGGGAGCACCCTACGCCCCACGCCGGGTGAGGGCCAGAATCGAGGCCCTCAAACAGGCAGTGTCCGCAGGAAACAATGAAGGCCTGTGGCGGGCAGCCGGAACACAGCCGTTGTCCTTCCCTGGCCCTCAACCCCTAGGCCTCAGGTCTCCAGGACTGGCAGGCTAGCGTGGGTCGGTGCGTCAGGCGCTCGTGTGCCAGGGCTGGGGACGCACAGCCTGCCACTTCTCCTTTCTGGCCTGGCAGGCTTGGGGGCCGATGGGCCAAACTCCACATCAACACCCAGGCTCACAAAGGAACCCACACACAAACTGAGGGGAAACAAGATGGACCCAAGGAACCAAAGGAGCCTCTGGCCCGCCATCCCTGGGGCACTTGATGCAGACTCCAAGAGAAGAGACCCAAGCGATACATCACAGTGGGGAGGGGACCACATTAGAATAATGCAGGATTAGAGCGGGGTTGCTATAGCGACGTATTAGGGCAATACATCTAGGAGACCCGGCCCCTTGGTGATGTATGACTCTGCTCAGCTGTGGGGAGCAGGGGGAGGGGAGTAGGAGGAGGGGATCCACCCCGCCCCGCCCCTCTGAAGGAAGAGCAGACACCAAACATTCTCTTCACTGGGGGAGCACATCTGCCTGGGGCTACAAAAATAGGCCTCTCAGAATCCTGGGATGACTGAAGGAGATGCCCGCTCAGCCGACCTCGAACTCCCAGCTGCAGGCCGCCCGCCACTCGCCTCCTTCCCGGATCTCAGCACTGATGTCAGCCTAACCCCAACTGACTACTTCCTCCAGCCCAGCCCCAGGGGGCCAGCCTTGGAGCTGGGGAGCTACGGGCCATCCTCAGACTGTCTCCCCGGGACCTGGCGGGACTAATAGGACTGACTCTATCTGGGGTGTCCTGGGTGTCTGTTTGGTTCAGAAACACTTTGGAAAGCTGCTGGCTTGCAAAGAAGAAGCCCAGAGGGTGGCGGGGAGGGGCGGGTAAGGCAGGCTGTCCCCTCTCATCCAAAAGTCTCCTTATGCCACTTGGGGACCCCACCCTCATCTAACCCCAGCTCTGGGGGGTTAGTTTGCCTCCAAACACACCCAGGGCCACCGAGAGGGAATATAAGTAGACTGGTCCTGGTTAAAAAAAAAAATTTGGGTGGGACTCCCAACAAAGGACTCCCTAAAAATCCTTCTCATGATATCCATGACAGTCTGTGATAGATCCAGACCAGGAACCCTGAAACTGCTGTGTTAAACATCGGTTCATGTTTGCCCCCCTCTCCAGGGCCCTGGCCCTCAACCCCCTAGGGACTCTAGGGGGAGACTCTCTGGAGGGGCCCCTTTTGTTACCTCCACCTAAGCAGCCTGGAGAGAAAGAAGAAAGGGGGGATCCACCCCTTCACAAATCCTCGGTGTTGGCGCTGGTGCCCCTGGCTGAGGGTCACTCTCAAGGCCTGCTGTGTATGCACGCACATGCCTTGCTTCCTTGAGGATGGTCATGTTGAGTTAATTCAGTGGGTTACAACAATCACACAACCCTCCTCCTCCCACCCCCACCCCAAAATATCTTCCTTTTTCCTTTTGAATGTGATGCTCTGGCACTGGGGGGGGGGGGAGGGTCTGGCTCCAGCTGGAGCTGTAAGTACCTGGCCATAGAATTCACCTCCCCCCAACCCCACACACATGCAGAGCACCACCACCACCAGAAAGGACAGAGGTCAAGGGACAAGGCAGGGCTTGAGGCATCGCCCTCCACATGGGCACACACGTCCACGTCCACACCTGCACAAGCACATGCACACTCATGGGCACACATGCGCACACGCTTGAGTCCCATTCCTGGTTTCATCCCCCAACTGGAGGAAACAAGTTCTTGATCCCTGATTGGGAAGGTCCCGTAAGGGGTTTCTCCTCCCACTGCCTCCATTCTCACACACACACACATGCACACCCGTGTACACACACGTGTGGAGGAGCAGAGAGGAATAGAAGAGAATGATTAAATGAAGAAGTAGGAGGAAGACCCAGTGTGTGTGCCCAGAGGGCAGTTCTGGGTTGGGAGTGGCAGGATGCCCAAGGCATAGAGTGGGCAGGAAAGCTTTATGACTTCCTCTCTTCCCTAGCCAGGACCAAAGGTCAGCCCAGGCTGCCCAGCCACGTGCAGTCCACCCCCCACCCCCACCCCCGGGGTCAGGTCATGTGAGACCAGGAGCAGCGCCTCATCAACACACCATTGTCTTCCAGCACCCAGCCTTGTGCTGAAGGGCTAGTCCAGGACACTCCAGCACCTTTGGCCCCCTCAGGGACTCTAGAGGGTCTCTCCGGCCCCACTCTGAGGACAAGCTGAGGGATGTTCCCTGGGGTCCTCGCTCTCTTTGGGATTTTGCATCCCTCCTGAGACCTGGAAATGAGTTGGGCCTCCGTTTGTGCTGAGAGCACCTGGAGTGGAGTGTGGAGAGCAGGGGGAAGATGGGGCCCCTTTTCTCATGGCCCCTAGAGGGACACATACACCATCCCATGCCCACTCCCTCCCTGCCCACTTTGGGAGGAGGTGTAGAGAGCAAAGAGGAGCAGGCCGAGAGTTGCCCTGAAGGTCATTCTGCACGTCAGCAACGGGCTGGGCCCCAGAGCCCCTGGCACCCTGGCTCCCAGCCTGGACCACAACACAGGCTCCATTGACTGACTCCTTTGCACCCTTTCCCAAGATGCACGCAAAGCTGTGGGCTTGCGGTCCCTGCCCACGGGCCCCTGCATCCTACAAGGCTCCAGGGGGCCTGGCCTCACCAGACCCACTCAGGGAAGAGGCCAGTGCCAGCTGCTGGCTGAATGAGCTGGTGGGGGTGGTGGACGCAGTTCCCAAGGGGTTGGCAAGAGAGGAAGAACAGAGGGATGGATCCTGCACCTAAACAAGAATCTTGCATCTGGGCTGTAAGACCCTGGCCAACCTCTAAGCCCTGTCCCACCCGGCCAAGCATGGAGTCAAAGAGCTTGTAGGCTTGGCTACACCCACCTATCTGCTCGTGCCATCTCCACCTACTGTCGTGGAGTGGAGTCCAACTCCGGGTGGCCACAAGGTTGACAGAGTGGACCCTCTGCAGAGTTTCCTTGGCTGCCCTCTTTATGAAAGTCAGGGCCTACTTACTGTGTGGGTTAGAACCGCCAACCTTTCCGTTAGAAGTAAACATAAGCTATTTGCACCCAATAGAGGCTCCAAAGGGCTCTCCTCTTCCCTAACCACACCTGGCAAAGACAGACCCTCCTTGGTCACATGGAAACGAGCCCCTGGCCCAGCCTGTGTCTCCTGGAGGGGAGAGCCGGTGGGGGTGGCTGGTTGTGTCTGGAGGAGGGAGATTGGAGGAAGCCGGGCTGGGAAGCTGCCGCCCCTCTGGGGGCTCCAGCGAGGGGAGGGCCGCCCCAGCAGGATGACAGAGAGATGATTAAACCCACAGAGAAGATTGATAAGGGAGCTCAACAGCTGCAGCTTTCTCTGCAAGGTGGGCTGGGGACAAATCTCATCTTGTCCTGGCGGGCGCTCAAAGCACTGGGGGGCTGGGTCGGCCGGGCTGAGTTCCTGACCTACACTGGGCTCGCTGGGGAACAGGCGTGGGGGTGGGGCGGTGGGCGGCTCCCACCTCCTTCCCCCAAAAGGCCTCTTCCCCCCCAGAGGCTCTCCGAGCCCAGCTCCGCCCTCCTCCCGCCTCACACCCACCTGCACCTGGGCAGCGCACCCCTTCTCACCCGTGCCCCCTTCACCCACAGCATCTCTGCCGCCGCTCTCACTCTCGTTATTATTAGATGTGATTTACAGCGGAAACGCTGAGTCAGACAAACCCAGAGTCCCCAGACAGAGGCAGGAGGCGCGGAGAGGCGCCCGAGGGAGCCGCCCCTCTCTGGGCAGGGTCCCCCAAGGAAGGCAGGAGACTGGGGTGCGGGGAGAAGCTCTGGTGTCTGCGCTCCGCCCCAGGCTCGGGGCCCGGGGACATGCAGACCCCTGCTCGGGCTCAGCCTGAGTCCTGCCCCCCTCGCCCCGGACTAGGTCGATGGCCCGGCCCACGGAGCCTGGAGCCCGGAAGTGCGCTGGCTCGGCCTGGCCCTCCGTCCTCCTGGGCGCCCAGAAAACGCCCACCCCCATGCCACCCTCTCCTCCGACTCCCGAGAGAAGGGAGCAGAAGCGAGGGTAGTGGCGCGGCGCTGGGGTCCTGGACTCCCCGCCCCGCTGCAAACATCAACCCGGCCGTCCGGCCAGGGGTGTCCCCCAGGTTGTCCAGAGGGCCCCCCCGACCCATCCCCGGCGGGCTTGGATCGAAGAGCTCGACCCTGCGTTCAGCTAGCTCTGAAGAGCACGGCGGGCAGGTCCGCCTGCGCTCCCTGGTCCCTGACTCCCTGGCAGGGAGGAACTGGGCATTGTTGCCAAAAATAAACGTTCCCTCTCCCGCTCCCTGGCTCCCGGCTCCCGCTCATTAGGATGCGTGGCGTTTGGCTGCGGTCCCACACCTTGCAGCTCATTATAAATATGCAGTCGCTGCTGGCGCTACCCCAATCATCTCTGCAATCAGAGCTTTTAATTAGGTTAATTAAATTGTATCAAATCTCGCAGGGACGCAGTTCACTGATGCTGATGAGGCAGCCCAAACAGACCCCAGCTCCTCCGCTAATGAAGGCCGCTGCCTGCCTGAGCGGTGAGGGAGCAGGAGCGCATAATAAACGGCGGGGCCTAGGGGGAGCTGCTGCCCAGGCCAGACGCTCTGGGGACCTGGCAGGAGGGTTGCATCTAGAAGACCATGCTGGGCTGCAACGCAGAACCGCCCACCCACCCCCACCCCCGACCCGGGACCATCCCCTTCACTCCAGAACTAACTAGCAGGTTCAACTCCAGGCACCTGAGCAGGTGGGCAGTGCCAGGGCCTTGAGGCCTTCTGCTCCTGCACCAATCCATCTGGCATGACCGAATTATTTCTCCACCAGAATGGCCCGAGAAGGCCAGGACTCGCCCTCCATGCACACCCATACACCCACACCCTGTCTTACTAGCCAGGGGGCCAAGCTGACCCCAAAAAGCCCATCCAGCCACTGCTGGTCTAGTCTCCATCTGCCATGGAAACCATCTGCCCCTGGTGGGCGTGAGGGGTGGCTTATACTACCAGCCCATGATGGCAGAGGGGTAGCAGCCTCATCTCCACATACCAGATGGGCCCTCTATCTTCCCACCTATACCACTCCACCTTAAGCACCGTGACACAGGGCCACTTGCACCAGACCCCCCCAGGAATCAAATCAGCTGGGGGATAGAAGGTCCCCAAGTGGGCCTGACAACCCCCATGTCCTGGTGGCCCATCCCTTTGCTAAGCACTGGCACCTGCAAAGCTGGTGAGCCCTGGCAAGGCCCTCCCTCCCCCTCCCCCTGCCTTGAAGCAGAAGGGCAGGTGCTGCCCTCTCCAAAGAGCCGGACCCTCTATTCTGCCGGGCTGCAACCATCCTCTGGTCCAGCAGCAGGGTCAGCGAGCAGAGGAGAAGATGGGTAAGTGATTAATGCTCTCTGGCCACGTGCTATAGAAGCTGGGGGTTTTTGTGTGTTTTGGTTTTTGGTTTGGAACTGTTTTTTGGTTTTTGTTTTTTTTTTTACTTTCCACCCAGTAATGTGAAAACATGAAACCTGAAACCAACCCCACATAGTTGTCACCTCAGAGAGAAGCCTTTAGGGTAACTGAAGGAAAGCTGTAAATGAGTCAGCCGTTGGGGGGGGGGAGCTGCCCAGCTGCCTCAGGGGCACCACAGTTTCATTAACACTTATGATCTGAGCAGGGTCATCAGGTGACAGAGGACAGGGGAAAGGGGAGGGTTTCCTCCCACCCCACCCCACCCCCCACCCCCTGCCCCAACACAGTAGTCAGCAGGAAAAAGTTCTCTTGCCTTGAAATAGCTAGGTGCCAGGCTCTGGTTCTGAGCCGGCGGTATCTGGAAGCGGCAACAGAGGTCTCCAGACCCTGCTGACTGAAAGGCAGCACGCGGCTGCTGCCCTCACCCAGGAAAGGAAGCAGCCAGTGCCATTCCTAGGGCCCGGGGTCAACCAGACAAGATTGGCCAGGGAGAAGGTGTGAACTTCAGTCAGGAGACATACAAGAGTTCCCAGGGGAATGACGGCAGACGCAGGAATGGGTAACGGAGATTCCTTACAGGGAGTCTGAAAGAGCAGGAAAGATTTCTGTCCTCTGACCAGAGAGGAACAAGCAGATGCATGAACCTTCCAGCCTCTTCCAGCCTCCTAACGTTAAGATGGTGGGCCTAGGAGAGGGAGCTCTGTTCCACATTGTCTCATCGCTTCTCTCGGATCCTTGCTCGCTCCCGCTTTCTGCTGAGACAGACCCAAGGCTGTTCTGCCAGCAGGGAGACCCCGTGACCTGGCTGGCTAGAGAGGGTGCACCCTCTGACCCCAGGTAGCAACTGCCAGCTCAGCCCCCAGACTGGTACTTCAGGTCCACCCCCAATTCTTCCACTCACCTGGGGCCTGGGGCCAGCTCTCCTACCCAAGCTCCAGCCTGCCCTTCCCCGGTACCCTGTGATGAGGCTCCTGGAACAAGCATGCTGGGAGAGTTTGAGGAGGCAGGGAGGGAGGCCAGCACCACACACCTACTTGCCTCACTGTGTCAAGTCCCAACAGGCCTGGCCTCCCCGGCCTCCACAGGTCAGCGGAGCGAGTCTGCAGTCTGCTGGCTGCTTTCCCCCAGGGAGGACGTACAGCTCTAATTGTTCTGTGCCCCACAGCCAGCAGCTCAGGAAGCAGGGAGGCACGCACACTCTAACCCCTACCAAGTCTTGGTGGAACCATCCGACCGGCACCCTAGGGCCCAATGGCCCGACAGTGCCTGGGGAGGCTTCAGTGTTCCCTAAGTGGTCCTCACTCCCAAGGATCCCCTGAAATGAGCCCTGCCTGTCTGTGTGGGGTCACACAAATCTCAAGGTCGGAGGAGAAAGCCTTTTCTTCATGCCCTCCCCACGGTAATACAGGCAGTAAATAAACACTGACACAGCACGGAGGCACGGACGAAGCACAAGGAGGCTGGGACAGAAGAGGTGTGCTAGGTCGGTAGACATGCCAGTACCTGAGAGCTAAGCCCAGCTAAGGGGCAGCAGCTCCACCTGCTGGGCCCTTTCCCACTCTGTCACGTGGAAGATGCTTCCTCTCAGTAAAGGGGAAAAAACAAAGTTCTATTTTAGAAGAAAACCTCAAGTGACCCTCTTCTACCTTGGTTGGCCGGGCGACCCTACACCACCCACCACCATGCTGGGTTGGATGACCCCCTGCTGCCGGGTGCTTTTCTGAACAGCAGCTACCTGGTCCATAGTTCACAGAGCTGCTCTTTGGGAGGGTTTGTGGGAGCCCTGACTACTCACAGAGCTGGGCTCCACCCCCTCGGGCTGCCCACAAGCCCCTTGGCGCAGCCGGGGCAGGATGCCACGGATAGCCCTAGCCACCCCAGGGCCTAGCTGGGTGGATCCTAAGTAAACAAGTGTCCCTGCAGGTCCCACTGAGCAAAGCTCTGGCCTCTTCTCAAGATCCACCAGGGAAAGCCAGTCTCTTCCCTAGGAGCTCCTGGGCCTTGGAATGGAGCCCTCCGTTTACCAGTGATCTGGGTCAGGCACTTCGGGGGCTCCAAGGACAAACTTGGACTTCCCTGCGTCCCTCAGCTCATGCCTGCAGATGCCCTGAGGCTCAGGGCGTGAGACATGAGCACCCACGGAGGTGAGCCGCTGGAGTGCCTGTGCCAGAGGGGTAGGTGTGTACGGACCTGTTTATGAGGCCTGAGTTGTATGAGCGTTGTGTGCCTGTGAAAGGTGGGCGTGCGCTTCATGAGGAGGCATGTCGTTAGAGCCCTCTGCTCCAGGCGGGGAGCAGCAGTACTCCAACTGTCCCAAGAACAGACTGATGCTTGGCCTGTGCCCCACTGGCCAGCATCCATGTAAGGGGGACCCTTCCCTGGCTTGGGACTCAGGTCCCCAGGCCCCCATCCTGTAAGGCAACCGTCCTTTATTGAGGTCAGCACCTCCACACCAGTTCCTGCAGGCCGGGGAAGAACTTCCTCAAGAAAAATGCTGCTAAATCCGGTTCCCCTGGCCTGCCCTCCCTTTTTCCAGGGCCCTCAGATCTAAATCCCACTGGGCAGAAGCTGGAGCTATAGGCTTTAAAGCTAGACTCTGTAGAAGAACCTCTAAGCGATGGTAGGTATTATGTTAGGTAATAACAATAATGGCAATATAGACAAGTAAAAATGAGTGTATGCGTGTGTGTTTAAAACTCACACAGCTGTTCCCTCCCTGGGCTGGAGTAAGGCGTGAGCAAGCCTTCCACACCCCTGCTCTCCACCCCTTTCCCATTTACCCCAAGTGTGCTCAGTCCTGTTCTAACTGGCCGCAGCCTACAACCCGTGTGGGCAGTGAAGGGAAGAGAAGGAAGCTGGCACATGTACTCTGGGATCTAGCTCTTCGGGTGAAGGTGGTACTACGCACGCCATGCCACGCCATTTACAACTGTGAAATCAGGGTTGGCCGGAGAGCCAGGTCTACTCAATTAGCACTTCAAGAACAAAGAGGAGGCGCCTCTATGGGTTCCCGGCCCCGGGTTTCTCTCTGTAGCTTTAAAGCTTAATAGAAAGTTTTTCTCCTTAGATAACTTATGAAGTTGCCTGAGTATCCAATAACAGAGCAAAATCATTCTATCCACTGAATAAAACATTAGGTAACTATTAAAATAAGGTTTATATTTTAATTTTTAGCATGAGTCTGTATTACTTTAACATTTAGTGATGTAGCCAAATGGGGAAAAGTGATTTAATGATGTGAAGGATATCAAATTGTTAACTCTAATCATGACGACAAAATAAAAAAGGTCAACGAAAGCCCGTGCGTACTACCACGAAGTTCAGGGGAGACACAGGCTGCTCCAGCACCACTCGCCCCCTTAGTGACCTGTGCTGCTCGTCCACAAGTACGAGCGCTAAAGACCACTTCAGCTATTTCCTAACTTTGCTGAAATAGAATCTATATCCCCTGCAACGGGGATAAAAAGCTGTAAGTCTATCAAATAAGAATGATTTCACAACCCCAAAACAATCACACAAGGGAAGGGGCTTGAACACCGTTTATAGAAAAACATCCAAGCTTAAGATCGACACTACATTAGATCTATAAACAGATAAGCCATGCCATTCGGATCGTGGAATGTGAAGTTCCTGAAGGGAAAAAAACCAACAACAGAATTCCGGTCCAAGCAGGACAGCAAGGCTCATCTGCAAACACATCACCGCCTCCGACGGCTCTGGAACTTGTAGATGGCCGGGGAGTCCACTGCTGCGCTCCTCACCTTTACCTTCTGCGTTCTATCCTACAGAAAAGCCAAAGGTCACCAGTAAATGGCACAGCTCACTCACGAGAGAAAGCCCTTAATGCCGTAAGGCATCCACTGTGCGTGATGAATTAACTTCCCTCTGGAGCATCTACAGTGGTACTAGCTCTGCACGGTTCTTAGGAAAATCGAGAAGACAAGTATCCATATCATTTTTTTATAGGTTCTCTCACAGAACCCCCGTCAATAAAGGCTGACCTAAGTAATCTGCAAAGCTAAAGAATTTGACATTTAGAGAAATGATAATAAAATGAAAGGGGCATCTTGGATTCCTTCACTCTGCTATTTAACTGCACAAGTTGTCTATTTTTAAACACCAAGGAGTGGCACGCATGTTTTGTTAACCTGTTTAAATGTTAGGATAGCTGCTCATAAGCTGTAAAGTTCATATGCTACCTGATCCTACCCTGTGCTGTTCCAAAGCACTGACTAATAACCCCTTATTACCTTCTTAATCAAGAAACATCGCAACACTGTCAGAGTAACAGACGCTGGCTCAAACCACTGCCCCTAAGGAGCAGACATTTTCACGGGGGTTGATTTACACACAGCTGAAATCCAGCCTCCGTTAAGACCTTGAGGGCTGGGGGGCGCGTGGGGCGCAGGGGGAGATGAAGGCCCCAGGCTTCTCTCTCACCAGAAGATCTTTGCGTGTTTGAATTTTCTGCGCAACAACAAACAATTCCTTCTCTCTTTTAATCCGCTGTGTCAGGTGGTTATATTGCTTTTGCCTTTGTTTAGCAATCCTCTGCAGAAGAAACACACACGTTTTCAACAAAATAATTAGACACATTTTCAACAATTAGAAGGATAAAAATAAGCATGAAAAGGAAGGTTTCTTTGTCCACTTAAGCCTAAATGTGTGGATGGCTTCATCAACTCTCTCCTTATTCCAGAACTGGCATCATGCGATACTGTAAGGTCTCTTTAGAAACATCACATCCTAGAGTGGTGCGCAGGCCAAGCACCTGTATGCTAACCAAAAGGTTGGCTGTTCGAATTCACCAGCTGCTCCCCGGGAGAAAGGTGCAACAGCCAGCTAGCTTCTGTGGAGACGACAGCCTTGGAAACGAGGGACAGTTCTACTCCGCAATACAACCGCTACACGGGCAGAAACGACTACGTTAATATTCCCGATCCACTCGGGCCCAGATGGTCTCAGCGACTCCCTCCCCACTGCAGATTCAACCAGCGATACGCTTTGGTCTGTTTTAAAAATGATACTCTAGAACTCAAAAGAACCCCCTCTTCTTACCTGTCATTTTGTACATGCTGAAAATGAGGCCCAGGAAAGAAGGTAACTTGCCCCAGGACACAGGGTTCCTCTGGAGCAGGGCCTCACAGAGCCCAGGCACCTTCCCACGACGGCACTAAGCTGCCTCGACCTTCCCGGTTACCTAAGGTGACGGCACTAAGCTGCCAGCACCAGGAACCCTACACAGAAGGGTTCTTTCCATGATCTTGCTGACTGGGGAGGGACAGAAGGGCCAGCAGGTTGTAGGCTAAAGACTAAGAGCCTCAGAACTCAGAGATGAGCTAATTCTATAGATGCTGACCAGAGGCTGGTTAAAAACACAAAATTAAAAAATCAAATCTATTGTCATCGAGTGAAGGGTTCGGCAAACTTTTGAAGACAGAAGAGCCAATCCCGTCCCACACAGCCGTTTAAAAATTATTCCAGAGCCATAAACACATTTTTACAAACAAAATCACCAGTAACTGAATTTAAGAGCCTTGAAGGTTTTCAATTGTACTTCAGAGCCACATAAGTGAATGTACCGAAAGTGCAGATGGCTGGCGAGTCAGTTTGCTTGCTGACCCCTGGCCTAGTGGATTCCGACTCACAGCACCTCCGACCAAGTCGGTCATCTTTACAGATGCAAACTGCCCCATCTCTCTCCCACAGAGCAGCTGGGAGCTTCAAACTGCTGACCTTTCACTTGGGAGCCACACACTTAACCCCTGGGCCACCAGGGCTCCCTCCTCCACTGCCATTGAGTCAATTCACCTCCCAGTGACCCTGGGAGACAAAGTGGAACTGCCCCTATAGGGTTTCCCAGACCATGATCTTTCCAGGTGGGAGCTGCCACACCTTTCTCTCACTGAGCAACCTTCTGGTCGGCAGCTAAGAGCCAGAGCCACTGCACCCCATGGATTCATCTTTCGAGATACGGATGAAAGTTTTGGATCTTTTAAGATAAATGTGCACATGTGTATACAAAAGTATGCACGCTATATACCCCTTTACTCAAAATATCCACATATATGTATATGAAGGGGGAGGAGGGGAAGGAGGTTGTTCATAGAGACCCACTCCTGGATTATCTTCAGATTACAAACTAAATTCCACAGTCATCCATTCACAAGCAGCCCGTTAATAATCATATACAACTTTAATGAGAACAATCAGGTGGAATCCTGATGGCACAGTGGGTTAGGCACTGGGCTGCTAAACCACAAGGTCGATAGTTCAAACCAGTCAGCTGCTCCTCTGGAGAAAGAGAGGCTGCTGTCTGCTCCTGTAAAGATCTACAGTCTCAAAAAGCTAAATAAATAAATTTAAAGAAAGCCATCAAAATAGCACTGTTAGACAGAAACGGCAAGCCCCAAACCTCAACTTCTCAAATGCTATGTTGTGGACTATGCGACACAGAAGTTTAGGATACGAGTCTCTTCAGCGGCGACCACAATTCTTAAGAGGCGTCAGTGACAGAGCTAATTGCAAATACACCTAATTGACAAACAGGGTTATCACAGGAACACTGTCAGCCGGCTCCTCCGCTGGAAGTGTTGTCAGTCTAGAGGGGAACTGCACTGGGCCTCTGACTCACACAACCCGCCGACTCCGCACACGCTCGAGCAGTGGCTTCAGACAGCTTTGTTTGCACTGTATTGCACAGACTGTCAAATTTATGGGATCACCCAATATAGTCAAACTAATTAGGGGTATTTATATTACTAAAGCAAGTTTAGCTGCCTCTGAGCTAGAGAAAACTGCTGTGAAGTTAAACATTGGAAGCAAAGCTGATGCGGTGTAAATGATTCAAATCAAAACAGAACAGCTGTCTGCTTGAAACACACTGACAGCGTTTTTTTGGGTTTTTTTCAATCAGTCAGAAGTGAGAGTTCAACTCCGGAAGGCTTTGGGAAGAGCTTGTCTTCTGCAGAAGGCAAGTTACACTGATGGAAGGCACCACAGGGCAAAGTCCAACACAAAACTTGGGCTACAATCACTATCGAAGTACAAAAAGACCTTTGAGCCCATGTGTTCGCTGCTGCAGGGTCAACGCCAAAGAATACGAAGCCCTTAACCCTCTGGGTCCCCAGCCTTCTAACAGCGCTTGCCATTTGTTTCTCGCATTAGAGCAGAGAGTCAGAGCTGGGATTCAAACCCAGGTCTGAAGGCCAGACCCTAAGCTCCTGACTACTCCGTGCTACCTTCCTCCACCTCCAAGGGCGCAGGGAGAAGCCTCCACCTCAGTCCACCGCCAGAGACAGCGCCTGCCACTTTTCTAAGGGGACTTATGGAGCGGTCCCCAAATAAGTATGCAAAATGCAGGAGAAAAAGGAACCTCGAGTCCCCTAAGCCCAAGAAAAATCTAAAGAAAAATGGAGACATTTACCTTCAGTTGAGCCTTATGGGCAACTCCTTTCACTTTTTGCTTCTTCAGGGTCTCTATCGTGGGTCTATTAAAGACTCGATCGACCAATTCCGGGGCTGTTCGCAGATGAGTTGCAACATCGAACTGCTCAACTACGAATGGAGACGGTCCTTAAGGCAATGTCCCAAGTTTGTCCCCAAACAACCCACATCAATTTCCTTGACTGCCCCCGAAACCTCCTGACATTCCATACCTTCTCTTTTGGTGTCAAAAAAGAACACGTGCTTATTCTGTTGCTTCCCCTGGAAATCCAGCAGGTGGAGCTCTGATTTCAATCTTTCGATTTTCTAGAACAGAACGTGGTCGCACTTTACATTGGGATCACGAATCAACTCTCGACATTCAAATCATTTCACATCATTATCGCCAACTGCCAAAGAATTTGTTTACTACATTCTTCTTTAAAGAAAGGGGCCATTAAGTTTTAGGTAATGCAAGTTCGGCATTCCACAAAACTCATTTAATCCTCACAAACAGCCTGATGAGATAGAAACGAGGGAAGCGCCTGAGGGAGATTAATTTGTGCATAATCATGGGCCGAGTAATCGGCAGCGCCAAAGTTCAAAGCTGACGCTGTCTCGTTCCCAAACTTGAACTCTTTCCATCCCACCACGCTGATGACACTTCTAATTCATTATCACAATCACGCAGACTTTAAGATTCCCAATGCCAGAAGCCAATGTCTGGCTTGAGACTGACAGAAGTACGAGCGCGTGTCCTGTCTTCACCAACAAAGCACATCAGGACAGTGTGTCTCGGGCGTCTGTTACCTTAGCTTCAGCCACTCTTTTCATTTCTATATATTTCAAATCCTGAGTTTTCATCAGTTTCAGCTGTTCGGGAGTTGCTTCTTCCTTTGTCTCTTTAATAATGTGAACTCCATCCTATAATCCCAATTTAAAAGACACATTCCATGTTACATTAAAATCATTACTGTAGTGCTGCACAGTTCATGGCTGGGAAAAAAGCAAGTCAACACGACTGTATGCTAATGGCAATCCCATGAAGCAAGCTGGAGCTCACACACCACTTAGCACCTCCAATGGTCCGCTCTTGATACAACTCAAGGCCAGGACAACCCAGTCTTGAAAACAGAACGCATGCTCCCAGAAAGGGTTGGTTTGCATTGGGTGCTTACCAAGAACACCTGGCTCAAATAGAGAAGGGCTGCACTAAGACCCCTTTTCTCCATCTTCTCCCCCCACCCCACCGTCAAGCAGAGCTCAAAACAGACTGACCGATTAAGCACCTACCTGGAGTTGAACCCGAGTCATCTTATAGTAGAACTCATCTGGGTTTTTTTCAAGAGCCTTCCTCCGGAGAGCTCTGAGGTAGTCTTGCTTTTTTCGGTAGTCACTAGACAGATTCAACAGGGCAGAGCAAGAAGGGCACAATGAGCAGATTTTACAAGACTACGGTTCCCACTCAAAAGAAGTGCTGGCAATAACTGCATCTGATCCATGCTTCACTGTCGGTGAAACTGACCGTATCTCAGTAGGACCCACAATTGGGCTGCTAACCACAAGGTCAGCAATTAGAAACCAGCAACCACTCCTCAGGAGAAAAATGGCTCTTTCTACCCCCATACACAGTTACAGTTCTACCCTGTCCTATAGGGTCACTATGAATCAGCATCCACTCGATGGCAGTGGGATAGGTGCCCTGGTGGCACTGTCCAGTAAGCAGCAGACTATTAACCAGCCACAAGGTTGATGGTTCAAACTCATCAGCCACTCCAAGAGAGACAGACAGGCTATCAGCTCCCCTGAAGATTGACAGCCTAAGAAACCCTATATAGAGTGGCTATTAGTCGGCATCAATTTGATGGCTGTTGAGCATAGTCTTTGAGTCACAATCAACCCCACGGCAGTGGGTTGGTTTGGGGTCCATGTACAAAGAGCACTGGTGGTGCAATGTTAAGTGCTCGACTGTGAACTACAACGTCAGTGGTTCAAATCCACCAGTCACTGGGAGAGAGAAAAATGTGACAACCTGCTTCTGTGGAGGTTTGTGGCCTTAGAAACTCTATGGGAGAGTTCTACTTTGTTCTATAAGGTCACTATAAATTGGAAGCAACTCCATGGCAGTGGATTTGGGTTGGTCTTTGAAGGGGGAGTCCAAGTGATGTTTAGCTGGCTGCTCACTGAAAGATCAGTGGTTTGAACCCACCAGCCACTCCCCGGGAGAAAGAGGTGGCAGTCTGCCTCCATAGTGATTTGCAGAAACCCTATGGAACCTAGGGGAAACTCTGTTCTGCAGAGTCGCTATGAACAGAATCAACTTGCCAATAATGGGCTTGGTTTGGGTTTGCTAATCCTGTGTATATTTTAGGGCTATTTAAATCATCACAAGGAGACACTAAGCACAGCATTTAAAAAACCCTCAGGCAGTGCTCTGGTGCAAACTCTGGCAGCCTCGGTGGATATTTTTAAACAAACCAACTCACTGCCATCGAGGCAATGCAGACTCACAGTGACGCTATAGGACAGGGTCGAGTTGCCCTTGGGAGGTTCCAAGACTGTTTGCGGGAGCAGAAGGCCCCATCTTTCTCCCAAGGAGCTGCAGATTGCAGCCCATCTCTTAACCACTGTGCCACCAGGGCTCATGCTCAGTGCAGTGTCAGTACAGCACACTGACTCGTCATGGACTCTGGAGACCAGATTTGGGCGAAGGAGAGGGGACTGTGTGGGCTCAAATCTTGACTCCACAAAGTCTGGCTAAATACCTTAGTTCATTAACCAGTCTGCACATCAGCTTCATCTGTCATGTGGGGATGATGACGACATTAATAGCCTATCCCAGGAAACCGGGAGCTCTAGTGCCTCGGTGGCTAACTGAAAGGCTGGCGGTCTGAGGTCACCAGATGAGGCAGTCTGCTTCCAAAAAGCCTTCATTCAGCCTTGAACGCCGGATGGAGCGGTCACACGCTGCCTTATGGGGGCCACTCTGGATTCAGAAGCCACAGGAGAGCAGCAAGGCCGGGTTTTTTAGGTGTGATCCCGGAATGGCCAGAAGGGATAAACAGATACAGAGCGACCACTGGCAAGCTCCTGGAACGCCACGTGGCCCAGGGGAAGTGCTCCCTTTATTATTAGCCTTTGAACTCCAGGCCTGAGTGGCCCACTTCATCCATCGCCATCTGTACCCAGAAGCACAGAAGGGCCTCAGCGACGGCGGGACTAACAAACAATGACAAAGAATTCTGCAAATAAAGTGGGCCAGAAGAAGAATGAGCATAATTGTTTTCTAAAATGTTTTCAGAGTTCATTATCACCCACGCTTAGTCTCATGAATCCATCTTTCACCTCTCTTCATTCCACACCACACACATGGTGATGTCAGAGGCTCAACAATGGAATTCTAGATCATATCTTGTACTTCAAAAACATACAGGAGGGGGGTGGGGGGAAAGTTCCAACTTTTGGCTCCAACACCAAGGCAGGGGCAAATCAAAGTCACTATGGGAAAATGATCTGGAACGACATAATAAAAGTCACAAAGCAACTCATTACACAAATAAGGCTCTGCCTAAACAAAGGGAGAAGCCGAGGGCCACAGGAGTGTCTGACAGGCTGCCAGGGCTCAGGCCATTCTCTCGATGGCAGGAAAGTATGCCCTGTCGGGCACGCAGGCAATTCAGCGGCAGTGAAGGGAGACTGTGAACTTCTTGGCAGCCCGACCACCACTCACTCTGCACGGAGTTTGTAATCTTTCTTCTTCTCCAGCAGGCCCATGTGTTTTCGAAAGCCAGGCTAGAAGACAAAAGAGGAAAAAGGAAGGTTCGTTTCCTCAGCGAGCAGATACCTAAGTCCACATGACACCTGACAGGAACAAGAGTCTCTAGGGTGCTCAGTAAATCCATGTTCTTGGAGCCAAACCGTTACCCAGCTCCTCCCCCCCACCCCCACCTGGGCTCAGCCCCAGGATGACAGGGACCATGGAGGTGACAGTGAGGTCACCCGCACTTCCACAGTAGGCTTCTTGGCCTATTAAGGACAGAGAGAGGCAACAATGACTCGGCACTAAGCAGGCCATTGCCAGCTGTACTAAAATTACTACCAACTTAATCCACGGGCTTATTAACTACTACGAAGGGAAAACATAGTAACAGGGAGGCAACTACGGTAAGAGAGCTAAATTTAGAGTCTGGAGAGTTGGGGTTCAAATCCAAGCTGTACCTTTTAATAATTTGTGACCTTGGGCACGCCACTTCTGTGCGCTGCAGTTTTCCTAACTGTAATATGGAGATAATAGTGCCTAGTTCAAAGGGCTGTGTTGATTTGTTGTGAGGTGCAGTCGGGTCTGTCATTAACTCAGGGCAGCCCCACCGCACAGAGCACTGCAGCTGTTCAGGCTGCAGTCCTTCTGGGAGCAGACTGCCAGGGCTTTGTCCTCCAAGAACACTAGGTTAGTTGGTTGCGATCGTTGGTTCAAAACATCAACCTTTCAGTGAGCGGCTGGGTGCTTAAACACTGTGCCACCATGGCTCCTTAGGGAGCTTGAAATGAGACCCTAAGGGGAAGTGCCTACAAACGCACGCAGCAGGTCCCCAGCAAATGTTTACAGGTATGATCCGCCTGTGAGCCAGGTGGGAGAGAAAACCAAGTGTGGCAGAAACGCTACTTAACTGGAATAGTACAGAACAGGGGTCAACAAATGTTTGGGACGGAAGAGCCATTCCTGTCCCTCACAACTATTTAATAGTTACTTGAGAGCCATACACATATTTTCACAAACAAATGAAATCACCGTTCTCTGAGAATAGCTTTAAATTGTTTTTGATTTTACTCCAGAGCCACATGTACATACAAGAAGAGTGGCATATGGCTCCTGAGCTGCAATTTTCTGACTCCTGGTATAGAGGAAGGATGTAAGGATTAAATCTTAGGATTAAATCTAAGGAGCCTGGTAATGCAGTGGTTACAAATTGGACTACTAACTGCAAGGTTAGCAATTCAAAACCGCCAGCCGCTCCCCTGAATAAAGATGGAGATTTCTATAGTCTTAGAAAATCACAGGGGCAGTTCTACCCTGTCCTATAGGGTAGAATCCTCTACATCAGTCCTATAGGGTCACTATGAGTCGGCATCCACGTGATGGTAGTGCGTTTGGTTTTAGTTCATTATGTTTCTTCTACATGCTACCTTTGAACACTTACTGCATCAGTCTGTGCTAGGTGCTTTGTCTACATTTTCATAACGGACTACGTACTTTGATCAAGGATTTCATAGAAGAATCCTGATCAAAAGAGGGCAAGCTGATTTTAAAATTCTCATGGAAACTTTCTGGAGTCATGGAGGGTGAATGGTGCCCGAGATCATCTTTAAACCTTAGACTAAAAATAACCCCTGAAGTCTTCTTAAAGCCAAACAATAATGTAATGTAACTTGTAAAAAACAAACAAACAAACATCAATTTTGAGCATTATGCTTTTTTAAGCGTCATCCCTATGGGATCAGACTAACAATGGCAACTCAAAAGATGAGACAGGAACCTTGGGGGGCAGTGAGTGGGGGCAGAATGACTCAGAAATGGAAGGTGGAGAAAGGCGCCACAAACCTGAAGAATGTGACCAATGTTGACAGGGTGGAATTGGTGCACACTGTGCTGCGTATATTCTCAACAACAAACTAAACACATTTTTAAAAAGAAAAACTTCACTAAGCTTTAGGGGTAAGACAGGAGAAAAAAGAGGCTTTCTACTCCCATATCAAGAGTTACAGTGTTAGAAAGCCACAGGGGCAGTTCTACCATGTCCTATAGGGTCACACTATGGGACTGAATCAACACCATTACAGTGAGCTTTCATATTAGGTTTGTTTAGGAAAGGGAGCTGGCTTATGATACACAGAAACAATGTATCCAGACCACTGCTAGGAGGTCCTGTGATCTTAATTCAGAAAGGCCTATGGGAGGCTCTACCAATGGGGAAATCAGGAAAAGGGATGCCCCTAAAATTAGGCAGCTGATTGATGGGCTAAAACTGGAAGCGGAAAAAGGAAACCCTCCCTGCCACTGAGTCCACTCTTATCGCAGCGACTTGATGGCAATGAGTTGGGCGGGGCTTGGGTTTAGGCGGCGCAGATAAAGGCAGCGGTCCAATGCCCCCAGGCCCTATGCAGGAGAACGATGATGCCCTCTGCGCCCACAACATGACAGTCTCCGAAACCCGCCGAGGCAGGTCCAACCTGTCCCACAGGGTCGCTGTGAGTTAGAAGGGACTCGAGGGCAGGGAGTTTGGGTTCACGGAACTACCGCACCAAAGCCGCACTGCGGAGTGGGTACGAACAGCCCCCCAAGGACCTGCAGGGGCAGCCCGGGAAGAAAGCGCCCCAACTCTCTAGAGGGAGAACTTTTCGTTTCGGTGGCCCCGCCCCGCCCCGCCTGCTCGTTAGCGTATATTTACATACAGCACCTAAGTACAGTACGCGGGGGGGGAGGGAGGGAGTGTAGGGAGGGCTGAGGGGGTCCCAGGCCGGCGCTCGTGGGGCCGGCGCGCGCCTGCCTACCTGGCTCCGCTCTCGGTGTTCCCGCTGTCGGGACTTAGCCGCCTTCCGAAAAGCCGCCGCCATCGCTGCTCAGCCGGGAAAAGCTCGGTAAAAATGACCGCGCCGCACTGTCTCGGAAGCCGCGTCCCTCAGAACCTGCCGGAAGTGGGTAGCGCCTGCAGCGGCTTAGAACCGCCCACCTCCTCGTCTCAGCCTATCCAGAGCCCGCTTTTCAGGAACTACGTACTCTCGCAAGCCACCTACAGAAGGCTTCTGGGAAGTGTAGTTTCCTAGAGCTAGCCTCGTGATTCTACAGTTCTTATTAGCCAGGGCTAGTGCACGTGTCCACCACATGTCTGTCCGTTTGTCGTACTCTGGTGGCGTGTGTCTTGCTGTGATGCTGGGAGCTATGTTACTGGTACTTCAAGTACCCACTGGTATTTCAGTTCACCCAAAGTTGAGTTTGAATACGTTTCAGCAGAGCTTCCAGACTACAAACAGACTGCGTGGGAGGAATAAACTGTGCACTTCAGAGGCATGAGCCGTTAAAAACGTTCTGGATAGCATCGAAGCATTGTCAGATACTGAAAGCCGAATGAATATAAGCAGAACTTTGCTTATATAGCCCCAGAAGACCACCCTCTCGGGTCAAGGCAGTCAATATGACTGAGGAAGAGCTGCCTTCTCAAAGCACAGTCCACCGTAATGACATGAATGGATGGGGTGAAGGCTCCGCCAGCAGAGCCTTCGGACCTTCACCTGCTGATGGGGCAGGACTCGAGGAGAAGAAATAGCTGTGCAAGTATACTAATAATCGCGACTTGGAAGGTACGAAGTATGAGCCTAGGAAAACTGGAGTTGTCAAAAATAAAATGGAACGCATCAAGACAGAGGTCCTGGGCATTGGTGAGCTGAAATGGGCTGGTAGTGGCCATTTTGAATCAGAAAAAAATCATACTTACTGTGCCAGGAATGGCACAATCAACAAGAATGCTGTTGCATTCATTGTCCGAAGGACCTTTCCCAAGTTATCTTGAAGTACCATGCTGTCTGTGATAGGATCCTAGATAAGGAAATCCATACAGATATTCAAATGTATGCACCAATCACTAAAGCCAATGATGAAAAAATTGAGGAATTTTTCCGTCTGAAACTGATGAAACATGCAATCAAGATGCATTCGTACTTATTGGTGACTGGAATGCCAAAGTTTGAAACAAAGAGTAACCGTCGTTAGAACATATGGTGTTGATGTGAGAAACAAAGCTAGAGATCATCTGATAGAGTTTTGCAAGGCCAACGACTTCTTCATCACAGTGACCTTTTTCAACAATTAGTAGACTTTCACAGCTGTTTCTTCTCATTTTGAGTCATGCCCCATCCGCAAGTGGAGGTCCGAAGGCTTCATACTCCATCTATGTCATTATGGTGGACTGTTCTTTGAGAAGACAACTCTTCCTCAGTCATAATTTGAGTGTTATTGAAAACAGGTGTTTGTGATTAAGATATCATTGGTCTTGCAGAATTCTATCATGCAATCTCCAGCTTCATTTCATTACTACGACCATATTTTCTACACATGGACATCTCCAGATGACATGGACAAGAATCAAATTGACTACATCTGTGGGAAGAGATGACAGAGCAGCTCAATTAGCAGCAGCTAATACCAGGCCAGGGGCTGACTGTAGGACAGATCATTATTTGATCATATTGAAGCTCAGGTTGAAGCTGAAGAGAATGAAAACAAGTCCACGGAAACCAAAATACGACCTTGAGGATGTCCCACCCAAGTCTGGAGAACATCTCCAGAAGATCTTTGATGCATTAAACACATGGTGGAAGGAGCTATGGGAATATCATACATGTAGAAAGCAAAAGGTCATCTTAAAAAAACCAAAGTGGGGCAATGAATGTAAAACTATGCTTTACACAACTGATGTATGTATGGATTGTGATAAGAGTTGTATGATCCCCTAATAAAATGATTTTTTTAAAAAAGAAGTAGTCAACACTCAACCATTTCAAGAGGTAGCAGATGAGCAAGAACCCATGGTACTGAAGGAAGAAGTCCAAGCTACACTGAAAGCACTGGCCAAAAACAAGGTTCCAAGAATTGATGTAATACCAATTGAAATGTTTCAACAAGCTGATGAAGCACAAGAAACATTCATTCATCTATGCCAAGAA